TTCGGCGAAATATCTGACTGCGTGTCCCCGCATCCCTAAGGACTGTTTGGCGAAATATTTGACGGCATATCAAACGACTGAAACGATATAACTAGAGAAATCTCCACTGTGCTCCTGGGTGAGAGCGTATGGCAAGCCGTTTTAGCATTTAAACCTTGTTCTGACTATCCATTAGAGATATCTCTAATTATATTTTGACTAGTCATAATTATAATTTGACTAGTCAGAATGACAATTAGAGATATCTGCAATTACAATTGTACTAGTACGAAATCAGATTGGAGATATCTGCAAATATATTATAACTAGTCATATTCCTCTATTGACTTCCATTAAAAAATATTTGCAGATATCTCTAACTGAGTTTTGACTCGTCAAAAATCCAATTCAAGATATCTACAACTGTAATTCGACTATTAGTAATTAATTAGAGATATCTTCAAATATATTTGTAAATATCTCTAAATATGACGAATTAAAGACATCTCCAAATGTATTATGACTAGTAAAAACTCAGTTAGAGATATCTCTAATTACAATTGTGACTAGTCAAAACTCATTTAAAGATATCTGCAAATATTTTTCAATGGAAGTCAATAGAGGAATATGACTAGTCATAATATATTTGCAGATATCTCCAATCTGATTTCGTACTAGTACAATTTCAATTGCAGATATCAGATACCGGTTCGAGGCAACTGTACCTAGTGTGAGTACGGCCTAAGATGTTTCTTTTCCGGACAGAGCGGCTGTGTGACATAATCTGCAGCCCATTGGTTCTTTTCTTGATTGACATTGGGCTGAAACAATTACAATCTTCCATGTTGGGCTCTGTGTAACGTAGGTGTGTGTATTCGTCAAAATACCCTAGAGTCACGCCTGTTTCTTACGCGCGGGTTCGCGCCGCGGGAGAGCAGGCTTTTGCGTCTGCACTCTGCAGCGGGGCACAGATCAATATATTCCTGTCTATTCTATCTAGTTACCTATCTGTCCTTATACATATACTTTTTTAAACTTTTAATTTGCACCAAAAACAAATGGCTGACTTCACCACAGCCAAAACATTTTATTTTAGGTTTTGAACACCACTTAATTAATTTCATTCACTTTGAAATTCAGAAGATCTTGTGGGTGTTTAAAATTCTGAAATTTGAGCATCGGAAGGATACAACAGTCAGGCAGTCTCCAACAAGTTTCAGTAAAGGAGAAGCACCAATATTTTTTCCATGTTTTTTTTTTTTTTTTTTTCCATTGTGATTACTTGCTCCTGCAAAGAGTCTTTAAAAATGGTAATAAAAGTGGTACAATGGAAGTGTCTGATTTGATTTTTCTCTGAACTGATTAGCTATTTCTATCATACTCAATCAGATAACGGTAGCACCATTCATCTTAGAGGCAGACAAAACATCTCATTTCCCACAATTTCACCCACAGCTAAACAACAACTCTCCACACTGCAGACACAACTTATAGGGCTTATTCACACTGAATGCATCTTTGCTTCTAAAAACATGAAATGCAGCATTAAAAAAAAAAAGCACAGCATAAAGCACACGGGTATCCGGATACAGTCACTAAGCACCTGTAAACAGAAACTTGCAATGGTTGTCCCTTCTCCGAGTTCTTCTAATTGGTTCACTGTTGTGGAACTATCAGTAATGAGCTGCACTGCATGTGAAGTTCTTTTAACTTCACAGAGCTCACATACATACCCCTTTCAAAAACGTGTGATGTGTCTCTAGCAACAACCTTCCACTTTGATGCACCTTGCATTAAAGTTTTGTGTTCAAAGTTGCCATAAGAATGGGAACATAACATTGCATCTATTCTGAGCGCTGCATCTCATGTTTTATAGACGCAAAAATGCATTTTTTGTGAATGGAAGCTAAGTTTTTGCACTGCTTTTGTCTTTTCTTTGCTGTCTAACCTCTACTATAATGGTTTGGGATGAATATATATATATATATATATATATATATACACCATTAAAGTCCCTAATAAATATATTCACATTTGAATCTCAATTCACGCATCTTCTGCATATTTGAACTCTTTCCAGCAGTGACTGTATGATTGTGAGATTCATCTTTTTACTCTGAGGATGATTGAGGGACTCAAACACTACTTTGTCTAGTGATCTATGCAAACATATTGTATGTAAAATATCTTTCTCAGAACTGTACGAAAATACATGAATTTTGTATTTCTCTGAGTTTGTTAAAACTTATTCAAGTTAACAAATTTTTTAAGGGGTATGTAAACTTTCAAGCACAATTGTGTATAAATAGTTGCCATGCATCAAAACACAAGCTGAATCACTATAATCATTCTCTAAATAAGAAAAAAAAAAAACAGAGCAGGAGATAGTTGTTTGGGCTTCTAATTATATGGTAATAATGTAAAATAACTGCGCATTATGAATAATTTCTTAAGTATTAGCAACTTTAGCACTTGCATTAATTAATCATTTGTATACCACTGTTAAGCAGTTTATGACTACAGCTACTAATACATGCTGTATTATTGACTAATGTTTGTAAAAATATAATTTTTTTTAATGTTTGGTCTTTAAATGCAGTTTACATGAAGCCACACCTTCAGGATATAACATCAGACTTGTGGTGGGGGTGTAGCTGCATCACTCTTTAGTGATATTTTTAATGTTAATCAGAGAAACAGACTTATGCTTAACTCTTTTAAAGCATTAATAGCTTCAAGATATTCAGAAAAATGTTATCTTTCTCTCTTTAATCTCCTTGTATAGAGTATAAAGCATTTCAGAATGCTTTAGGAAATGGGTTGGACCAGTGACGTTTTGCTGAAATTAGAAAACTTGCTCAAATCAGAACCAGTTTCTGATTTCAGCAAAACGTCATTCCACCACTGCTGCCCAATTATGCACCTTTCTACACATAAACAATGTTTTTGAAGTGTTTCAGTCAACATTTACTCTTAGCTGCAGACAGAGGTTGCATCTTGTTACTAGTTTTACTTGACCCCAGTTCTGTATTCGACATTTTTGATCATGATATTCAAACTAAAGTCATACTAAACTGACCTTTTCTGGTTTGTAAATATAAATGGACAGCTTTAACTAGTCAGGCTAGTGAAGTATAGGGTGCCTCATGGATCAGTTTTAGGCCCTTTGCTGTTTACAATATACAGTTCACACCAGAATTATTAGAATTATTATTTTTTTTTCCCAAATTTCTGTTTAACGGAGAGAAGACTATAACACATTTCTAAACATAGTAGTTTTAATAACTCATAACTGAGTTATTACTGCACTGTGAATTTCATTCTTTACTGAAATCACTGTATTTTTCACATTCTTCACAGTCCAACTATTTACTAGATATTTTCAAGACACTTCTATACAGCTTAAAGTGACATTTAAAGGTTTAACTAGGTTAATTAGGTTAACTAGGCAGGTTAGGGTAATTAGGCAAGTTATTGTATAATGATGGTTTGTTCTGTAGATTATCGAAAACAAAAATAGCTTAAATGGGGCTGATAATTTTGTCCCTAAAATTGTGTTTTAAAATTAAAAACTGCTTTTATTCTAGCTGAAATAAAACAAATAAGACTTTCTCCAGAAGAAAAAAATATTATCAGACATACTGTGAAAATTTCCTTGCTCTGTTAAACATCATTTGGTAAATATTTAAAAAAGAAAAAACAATTGAGGGTGGGGGTGGGGGGTTGGGGGGATAAGGGTTAGAGGGGTTACACAGGGAATCCCAACTCGTGGTCAGATAACAGGTGAATGGCCTGAACAGGAAGACAGCAAGCAACATAAACAAAACAAACAAGATAAGATTCAAAAACAAACGAAAAGGCAAGGAAAACACGCCATAAAGTTCACTTGACAGAGAACCAATGTTCTCAATGTCTACTTGATATTTTTTCTATTTGTTTTAGACATTTATGTGTGGATTCTTGTTAAACTGCCTCACTAGGATGTATGACACAACACTGAAGTAATGTATCTTAATGATGTTGTAATAACATTAAAAGCCTTCATGGAACAAACAAATGAAGATATGCATGCAAATATATTTGAAATATCTGTAAAATCTTTCTCTAAAAAGTACCAAGGTGGGTAAAGGTGAACATTAACAAGGAAAAATAACATGAGCTTTCATAAGAATAAAAATGTTATGCTTTGGTTAACCAGGGAACAATTTTTTAAATATTACAAATACAGAATACATTCTGGCAGTAAATACTGCTTTACATATAAAGAGATCATATTTTTTAGAAATTGCAATTTTTCTTATTAAACACTGGAAAAGACCTCACTCTTTCTAAATCTCCACAGGGTGTGGAGGCACTGATAGCTTGAGGACTTGTCTTCACTTTAAACTGTTAGGTGAGACAAATGACTGCTGAAATATCTTCAGGGTGTAGTTGACATTTGATTTGTTGTCATCTTTACATCAAATGATAGATAACATTACCTGGGGTTTACAGAGGCCTAAACATCTAAACTTGTGGATCCAGTTTTAAAATTTTACATTTTTTTTCTTTGCATCACAAGATACAAGCCTGCTTTACTATAAAGCTGTATACTTGCCTGTAAAGCAAGTATCTAAAGATTCATACATAGCTCTCTACATAAAAAATACAAAGACCTTTAAATGCTGTACATTAATACACTGCTCATTTATTTTATTAAAGAAAGTGTGGGGAACATTAGAACATTTGTGAATTATTGGCTGCAATGACAGTGATAATTTATCTATTATATATGTTTGGAGCTTCCCAATCATGTCTGGTTTTAATATTACCTGATGCATAGAGGCTGCTCACAACAAATTGAGACTAATGCAATGTCATTTATCATATTTGGCATCAATTTAATTGAGAATGCTTTGTGAAGTGTTAAAATGCATTTCATGTATCTTTAGGGAATATATTTTCACATAACTAATGAGATAGTATTTTACTTTGTGTTGTAGTTGATGTGTACTTGTTAGAAGTGATTAAAGGGTTCTTACCTTATCACCTTTTAGGCCAGGTGGACCCTAATGGAGATTAGGGAAAAAAAAAAGAAAGATTAAACATTTGAACCAGGTTGAAATATACCTATATTAATATATTACCTATATTGGTGCATTGAAATGAAAAAAAGTTTTAATAAAGTTATGTCCATTAAGATAAGAGTTTGGTTACCTAACATCTCTAGGAATGATAAGCTAATACATTTAAACTCAAACAAGTTTTATTTATAAATGTATTTAATTTTCTCCAACATGCAATTTTCTCAATTCATCTTTGGAATATAAGTTTTGGCTTTGGTAGTGACTAATCTATGTACAGTATATGCACAAATATATTATTGTAAAGCATCTCATAGAAAATATAAAAAAATAATAATAATAAATAAATAAATAAATAAATAAATATATATATCTGAGGAGTGTACTCATTTATCTCATTTATCTTTGCGGCCTACGTTTAACCATGTGCTACATCTGTTTAGAGACCAAAAAGAAAATAGACAGCCCGGTTGTGAACATTGAGACATTGCTCCTAAGCTATTCACATAAAGCTAAGCTGCACAACACCAGAGCATTTTTAAACAAAATTTAAAAAGTATAAAACAAAAACTCCTAATTCTTTTCCATGCAACTATTAAATGTGTAAATGTCTCAGTTACACACATAACCGTGGTTTCCTAAGTAGGAAAAAAGCTGCTGCATAATATGGTAATGCTAAGGGGAATGCCTCCAGTTTAAAATGTCAAAAGCATACAAAATTACTTAAATTGTTTTGACAGCTGACCTTACATGTCGTATCACTGACACGATAGAAGGGCAACTGCATCATCACATCAAAAGCTTTTATTTGAAGGAGCACTGCAGGGATAGGCCAATAGCGTCTTTGATTAAATGTGACATAGTTTTGTGGCTGCAGCACATTTGCTACCACCAAAAAATATAAGCAACTGACTAGAAGTATGCCACATATCTGAGCAGTCTATATAAATCTTCCTGGAGGGAAAAAGCTTGTAATCATAAGCAACTTAACAATACAGTATATGAGAGTACCTTTGAAATAAATTTCCCAGTCAAGTTGGGCTTCATTTTCAATCTGCTTGGTACATACAGTGGAACAAAATGTCATGTCTCACCGGACCACAAATGTTGGTATAATGTTGGTATAACTTGCCAACATTTGTCTCTAAAAATCTGGGTGAGAGGGTGTTATGGAGCGTTTACTGTACTAAGGATCGGTTTTCAGGTGGCCGCTGTGATCAGATACTATACCAAAGTTGGCAACTCGGGGTGTTAGAGACTGTACAAAAAAGCTGGGGAAGGGGGAGGCGAGTGAAATTACAGGAGTATTCTGAAAGAAATAACAAAACGGGATGGTGGTGGGAGATGGATCTGAAATACGGGAGACTCCTGGGAAAAATGGGAGTGTTGGCAGGTTTGGCTAATGAAGTAATGCAGTCTTGCTTTGTAAGAAATGAAATTTCCCAATTGATGCCTGATTGGTTTGAATCTAGCAGGTTATTGCATGTTAAAAGTTCAGAAATTTGGCTGAAAACAACACTTTCCACTGTTGAGTGATAGTTTATTGAGCAGCGGGGTTACCCAGCCCTGCTTAAAAGTGCTTGGGAATGTGCCAGTGTGAAGTGAAGTGATAATTATCTGTGTTAGGGCTGGCACTACCGCCGAGGAAATGTCCTGCAATATGTGTGAGGGAAAGGGTCAAGAGAACAGGGTGTGGGAAATGCAGGCTAGTGAATTTCCTTCAGTGAGTGTTGTTAGATGGAGATTTGGGTTGTAGGTGGTAGAAAGCAGATTGTTTGTGTGTTTGCATGTGTGCATGTCTGCGTGCGTGCGTAGCTAAGGTCAAGTTGTCATGATAAAAGACAAGTTATGATGTTCAAGTTGTCATAATAAAAGACAAGTTATGATATATTGGTCTAAACAAGGACATTGCAAAACATCGCAAAACATTTTATCTCTACTTAATAAATTAATAACTGAGCAATAATTATGAAAGTCATTTTAAGCATGCAGATAATCTAATTCTTTATCATAACTTGTAAGTAATGTCATGATTATAAAGGAGTCTCATGCACAAGCTTTTCAAGTAAACTGTTACACAAAAAGAAAATGATTGAAAATCAATCGTTGAATCTTTATATCAAATTATTGTCATCATAATATTATCACACATTTCTTTGTCTGAAAGCATGCAATCTCTTCCTCTCTGCATAGTGTTGCTCATATGAAGTTACTACAAAAACAAGTTACTACAACCTTAAATGACAAAAAGTTAAGACAGCAAGCAAAACACAAACACAAACACAAAAGAAAGGATTGATTTCCAAATTTACTTTTGATTTGTATTTCACAATATGAACACAAATGTTTTGTGTTTTGTCTGGTCAACTTCATTTAATTTGTAAATATAGATAATTTCTTGTCATTCAGACCTGCAACACATTCCAAAAAAGTTGGGATAGAAAAAGTTTAGGGCTAGTAATCAGTAAAATTGGTTAAATAATATAATTTTAAACTTGTGATGTCAACAAGTGATTGTAATTATGATTTGGTACAATTGCAGCATCTAAGAATGATCTAGTCCTTTAGGAGCAAAGACGGGCGATCGCCAGTTTCCCAACAAATTTGTGGGAAAATTATTGAGATTATTATTATGCAAATTATTGTTTAAAAACAATGTTTCCCAAAGAAAGATTGGAAGACATTTGGATATATCACCTACAACAGTGCAAAACATAATTAAAAGATTCAAGGAATATGGAGGAATTTTAGTGTGTAAAGGACAAGATCGCAAACCTAACCTAAACTATTATGATCTCTGATCTCTCAGGGGGCACTGCATCAAGAATCATCATTGATCCTCAAGTGATATCACCACATAGGCTCAGGACTACTTTGGCAAACCTTTGTCAAGTACCATAATACGTAGTTACATCCACAAATGGCAGTAAAAACTGCACTGAGCCAAAAGGAAGTCCTATGTCTACGGTGTTGAGAAAAGTCATAGACTTCTCTGGACACAGAGATAACTGGCATGGAGTGGAAACACAGTGGAAACATGTACTGTGGTCAGATGAATTAGTATCTCAGTTTTTCGGGGTAAAAATGAACGCCGTGTGTTCGGGACCAAAGAAAAAAAAAGATCATCCAGATTGTTACCAGCAACAAGTAAAAAAGCCACGGTCTGTCATGGTACTGTATGAGGTTGTGTCAGTGCCCTTGGAAAAGGTAATTTGCACTTCTATGATGGCACCATTAATGCTGAAAAGTACATAGACATTTTGGAGCAAATTTGCTGCCTTCTATTGCCAGGATGTCCACTCATATTTTACCAAAACAATGCAAAACCACATTCTGCACATTACAAAGTCCAGGCTGCGGCGGAAGACAATACAGGTACTTGACTGGCCTGCTTGCAGTCCCGACCTGTCTTCAATAAAGAATGTGTGGTGACAAAATGCAACAACAAAGACCCAGTACTGTTGCCCACCTTTAGACTTGTTTGCAGAAAAAAAGAACAAAATTACACCTGAAACACTTCACATCACTTGGTGTCTTCAGTCCCTAAATGTCTTTTAACTGTTGTGAAAAGAATTGCAACATTAAAAAGTGGAAAATGCTTTACTGTTCCAACTTTTTCTTTTTTTTCAAATGTGTTGCAAGTACCAAAATTGGAAAATGTGTTTATAAAAAATGATTAAAAAATCATGAGCAATCATTAAATAATGTGCTGTTGTATTGTCTGGGGGTGGCATGGTGGCTTAGTGGTTAGCACTGTCGCCTCACAGCAAGAAGGTTGTGTCACGGTTGCAGGTTTGTGCGCTCTTCCGGAATGTCTGTGTGATCAAGTGGGTTTGTCTTGTTTTGTTTTTGTGTCCCTTGTGTAATTGTTTTGGTGACGTGGCTTGACGGCACTCCGCTGGATTGATTGTTTGCCAGCTAATACACATTATCGTGCCTATATAAGTGCTACGTGTTTAGTGTTCATTGTCAGTTCGTTACGTGTGCTTATGTGTGTGTTTCTGTCTGTGCTTAAGACCGTGAGGAGTTTCTTCTAGAGCCTGTTTTCCTGCTTGATCCCTGTCCTGTTCCTCTAGCCCTAGCACCGTACTCATTTGTTGCACCTGTTTTTTGAGTTTGACTGTGTCAAATAAATACTTTTTTTTACTCGCAATTGGATCTATCTGAACATTTATTTGAGTGTGACAGGTTGGTAGTTCCAAGTCCCAGCTGGGTCAGTTGGCTTTTCTGAGTTAATTGAATGAATGTAATGTCCGTAACGGAATACAAATCAAAGTAAATTTAGAAATCACTTTTTTTATTTACGTTTTATAATGATAATAATATAAATATAAATATACATATAAAAAAATTCAGATAGTTAACAGGAACAGGACTAAATCCTCAATGAAAAACATATTAAAAATCAACAGATCATCATCAAAACCTGCAGTCTGTCCCAGTTCCATTTTAGCTCTGGACAGCTCAAGATCATTTTCAGGTCCAGCGAGCATACATGGACTATGACTAAGATAGGATAACAGCACAGCAAAATGTCCCCATCTACGTTACATTCTTTTCTTTTTTTTCCATTGAGATTTTAGTTAAGTTCGCAACACAAAACCTGAAATCAACATGACTACAGTCTTTTGCTGCCTCGAACTTGAACCTCCAATCTCCACTTCAAGCTTAGCTTGAATGACAAATCGACCACCAGCGAACCCACGTGGGAATCCAACTGTAGCAATATTCATATTTGGTGTCAATTGTTACTGTCTGTTCAAACAGAGCACTGTAAAAAAGAATGGATTCTTTCGAAGTTCCCTCTAAATTAATCTTAAAATGCCTATTGAGCTACTTTAAACTGTTGACACTCTAAAAAGATAACTGCTTCCGCATGAAAACTGATAGAGGACAAGGCTGTAAGTAATCAGAGTCAATGACCACAAGCGGCTGGTGCATATTGGAAAAATACCACTGAGGGGGGTTAGGCTAGGATAGCAAAA